GAGGGGCAGCGCAGGAGGGGAAGACCCTCTATGAGATGGATTGATTCGGTGACTGGGGTAATCGGGATGGGTGTGTCGGAGGCAGTGCGGTTGGCGCAGGATAGGGCAGGGTTTAGAGCTGTTGTGCATAGGGTCGCTATGAGTCGGAAACGACTCGATGGCACATAACAACAACAACAATTATAAAAATGACATTGTATGTATAAACGCCTATAAACATAAAAGAAAAATCACCTGTAATTCTACTACTCAGAGAAAAAGCAACTTTAACCTTTGGTTTATCTTCATTCAGTCTGTTTTACATGTTTATATTATAGCCATTTGGCCATATGATTAAATAATATACAACTGCATTTTTCATTTTTGTTGATTGGGGAGACCATTTTATTTTATCAGCATCAGATTATTGAATGATATCTTTTATACTATAGTGAAAGTAAATGCTTTTACACAAGCCATGATTTTTTAAATAAAAAATTTTTCCATTTTTTCTTTGTTTCTCTTCTCCTTTAGAACATTATTTTTTTGCATACTAAGTAGTTATTTTAAAGTCCTTTTGTGCTAATCCACAAATAGGATTATTGTCAAGCCTTCTACTTTTATCCACTTTTTACTTTTTTTTTTTCACATAAGGAAGCATTTATTGGAGGTTTAACATGAAATCATACAAATAAAATTTGTATAAGCACAAATCCACATCTAGTCAAAACACAGATAGCAAAGGACAAAGTAAAAACAAAACTAATTGGCAGCTATGTACAGTTGGACACAATTGTGTCTTGTTCACTAGGAAGTCTTTTACAAAATAATCATCTGAGATCAACAGATCTATCTTCAGCGTTGTCCTTCATGATGGGTTACTTTAGCATCTCCTATTTTTTGTCAGTGACCTTCTTTAGTATGGCTGGTAATTGTTTTGGTGATTGCCACCTCCTCGAGATGCCTTGCCATATGTGCTCTGTTGACCACTGTAGTCTGCATATCCCTGCCCATATCCATAGTTCCCATAGTTATACCCAGTATAATCATACCTGCCATAGCCACTATAGTTTTGATTGCCACCATAGGCACTATTGTAATTTCCATATCCTTGATCATAATAGTTATTAAACCCTTGGTTCCAGTTTTGGCCCTGACCTCGTCCATGACCCCTACTACCTCACCCACCAGCTGCAGCACCTCTTCCTCCTTTCTATTGTTGCTGCTGCTGTCTGTATACCTCTTTGGGTTGTACAACTTTGATTTCACACTTCCCAGAACCAATTTGATGATATCTACTTTCTAACAATTTCTTTACTGGCTCTTCATCTGTATATGTGATAAAACAAAATCCTCTTCTTTCATTGGTTTTTGTATCCATGGGAAGTTCAAGATTTTCAATCTCTCCAAAAGCGCCGAAATATTCTTTAATTTGTTCTTCAGAAGTATCTGGGCTCAGTCCACCTACAAAAACCTTTTTGGGGGGTTCCTTCCCTTTTAAAGCTTTAGCTCTTTTGGGGTCTATCAACTTGCCATCCAGTTTGTGTTCTTTCAGTTCCAAAACCTTATCAACACTAGCAGCATCTTTGAAAAGTACAAATCCAAACCCTCTTGACCGTCCAGTGACTGGATCTGTTTTAATCGTGCAGTCTACCACCTCTCCAAACCGAGACAAATACTCAGATTAGGGCTCCTATTAATCTCAGTTTGTTGTTTGTCCAGAATTCTACTGCTGAGCACATGGGAGTTAGTCTCAGCACTGTTACTCTCATTTTCTGTATTAGAGGAGATGATTTACAGATGTCCTGTCCAAAATGGCAACATCCCAACAATGAAGTTGGTGTGACAAAGGAACTGAATTTTTACTTTTAGTCTTGTAAATTTGAATAGCTGCCAGTTTGGATATACAGAGCATTTCCATTGTCCTACAAAGTGATAAAACTGTCAGTGATCTTTAGAAAAACATTCCTTCTGAATCTGAATTTACTCATTTATCAAGTTAGGTGATTTATTAGGTAATCTTTGAGGACTTTTCTTAGTTAAATCCTGTAATGCAGGAAGTTAATGTTTATAATAAAATCTATCCCAACACCTTGTATCAGAAGTACATCCTTAAAACCACATTGCTAAGAAATTAGAAGTGAGACATAAACAGAGATTTGTACACCAGTGTTCCTAGTAGTGCTGTTCACCATCTCAAGAACATGGAAACAGCTCAAATATTCAACCACAACCAAATGGATTGAGAAATTGAAATAATATGCAGCACTCAGAAGCCCTCAAAAAGCCCTGTATAACTTGGGAGAGGCTGGATGGCCTTATGCTGAGTGAACTAACTCAGTCTCATAAGGACAAATACTGCATATAACCATTATTATAAAAATAGAAGGATAACTAGTAAAACATGTATGGGAACTCAAGGCAGGGAGGGCTGAAGAAGCGCAGGGGCAAAACCACAGGGTTACATAGTTTGGTTGGTGGAAGGGTGGGGAGAAATGGGAAGGATCTGGTGGGGACGTAAAAAGACAGGGTCATGATGGGCAATGTCTGATGGTGATTAATTTTATAAAACATGGGGGAGAAAAGAAAACCCATAATGCATGAAAATGATTGTATGAAGCACAATGTGAATGAAGAATAGTGTGAAACATAATGTATAAGAAAATTGTATGCAAACCAATTAAAAAAATATACAGTAACTAGTAATTAGTAGAAAAAAAAATCCAAACAAACCACACTGCTGGAAGAGGGATGCGTGTAGCCCTGCCCACCCCCTGCCCCAGCTAGTGTGACCCCCACCTCCATTGCTGTGCTGCTCCCATTTACCATGATGGCCCAGTGGGGCTGCTGAACTGGGTGAGCAGCGTGTGGATGTTGACATGAATGAAGATGATATGCATCTGTACCACAATGGCCCTGCAGAGACACAAGGCCTAGTGGGCAGTGTATAGACACTGAGGTGAATGAGGAGGACACACATCTGTGCTGGAAAAGGTGAGCAATGACAGGTTCCACAGCCACATGATGCAGGTGGTCCAGGTGATGTCGCTCACACAAATTATGTGGGGTGAACGACTCAGCCATGGAGGTGGGATGGGCCTCTGCTCTTCCATATACATAAGATGGTTCCATCTCCAAGTGCATAGAGGTCTGCACAGATGCAGCACTGCCCTTCTGTCCACCTTTCCCTCCCATGTGGGCTATTTTGGCCCTCAGATGATGATCCTCCCTGACCATAGCTCCACACAGTGAGAAAATGAAGTCTTCCTGTGGTATTTTTTAAAATAATCTTTATTGGTTTTCTTGTAATAATTGATTTGGATTATGTTTAATTCATATACATTGTGTTTTCTATAATCTTTCATTTACATTGTTTTACACATTCATATACACTCTATTTTATTTCTTTTTTAAATTGGTTTGCTTATAAAGTTTATATACATTGTGTTTCCCACTAACCTTCATTCACCTTGTGTTTCATAGAATCGTTCTCATACATTATTTTTATAAAATCAATCATCATTGGCCCTTGCTCATCATTACCCTGCCTTTTCACTCAGATCCTTCCCTTTTACTTCCCTATCCCCTCCACCCACCAAACTGCAGTCCTGTGGTTTCACCTCTACCCGTCCTCACCCGTCTGCTTTCCCCTCACTCCTTATGTTTCTGTACATGTTTTACTAGTTATCTTTCTGTTTTATAATAGTGGTCTTATTCAGTATTTGTCCTTATGAGACTGCAGTCTCTCCCAAGTTATGTAGTATTTTTCAAAATCGTTGCTCCTGAGCGCTGCATGGTGGTGCCTTGTGTATGTACCACAATTTTTCAATCTGTTTGGTTGTGGTTAGATATTTGGCCTGTTCCCATGTTCTTGCAGTGGTGAATAATGCTGCTATGAACCTTAGCGTACAAATCTCCAGTTGTGTCTCAGTTATCATTTCCTTGGAGTATATTCCTAGGAGTGAAATGTCTGGGTCATATGGAGTTTCTATGTTTAACTTTATGAGGAAATGCCAAACTGCCTTCCAGAGTGATCATACCATTTTACAGTCCCACCAACAGTGTATGAAAGTTCCACCTCTCCACATGTTTTCCAATATTTATTGCTTGCTAGCCTACTAAACTTTGCCACTACTACTAGGGCGAGGTGGTTTCTTGTTCTGGTTTTGATTTGTGTCTCTCCTATTGCCAGTGATTTTGAGCATTTCTTTATGTGTCTGTTGGTCACCTGTATGTCCTCCTCTGTGAAAAGTCTTTCCATATCTTTTTGCTCATTTTGTAATTGGGTTATCAGTCTTTTTCTTCTGGGGACCCTATAGGATTCTGTGAACTTTTCTTATGAGTCCCTTGTCCTAAGTGATATTGCCAAATGTTTGTTCCCAGTTGGTAGGCTTTTTTTTTTCACCCTGTTGGAAAAAGTTTTTGATGAGCAAAGAAATTTCTTTAGAAAGTTTCCTGGTGTTTTTGGAACTATTCCTTTGTTTGCATAGCTTTTCAGATGTGCCCAAACCATGACACACCTCTTCTCTTATTCTATTCCACAAAAAATAGTATGAACTTTAAGAAACAAACAACTATATTACTTAATATTAATAGATTCTTGCCTCTGTAATTTGTAGAATTTTTCAGACTTTGTCTTCCGTTGGTATTTGGAGAAAGGAAAGCGAGGCAAACTATTATCTCAGCCCATTTCTCAGCACGGACAGTTGGCAAACTTTTTGCAAGCTCATGAACATCTCAGCTGGTTACATGAAATTAATAGCCAGGAATTAGAAAAGGTAAAAGAACGATTGTATTATTTGGAGCAGATTGAGGCAATTTTTAATTTTATTTAATTAGTTTTTCATTGCTATGCTACTACTATGGATGATATTAAAAGTGTACCTCTTATTTTTTCATAATTTTATAATTTGCATAAGCAGTCTTTATTTCTGATAGTATTGTCATTATTTCTCATCTCTATTATTTTAAAGTCTATTCTAATAAAGGCTACTATTAAAGTATAATTTTAAAATTAGTATTT